GCTCCTGGGGTTGGAGTGGAGAGGCTCCTTCTAGCCCATTTGTGAAATCCAAGATCATGCAGTGAGGTGGATTTGTGGTAAACACAGGAAGTAGCTGCAGGGAGGGAGGGCTCCAGCCTACACTGATCTGTCACTGAGCGGAGGTGCAGTCAGCTTCACAGTGGGCACGTCTATTTGCCAAACCCTCACATGAGGACCTGGATTAAGCAGCTGAGACTGAGTAAGCCTGGCCACAAGCTGTCCTGTAAAGGTCCTCCCACCTGGCTGAAGGCAGATGTCCATCAGATAGTTGGAAACTCTGATGCTAGGGCTACAGTTTGGAAGTTGTTACCTGGAGTCCTAGTTCATGAACATGTACATTCAGGGCCTTAAATCCCCCTTGATTGGTTTGCAAAGAGGTAAGCAGCTGCTACGTAAGGAAGATTGTGGCAATGCTCTTATACATTTCATGCTGAGCTGCGGTGCCCATCAGGCAGCTCACAGGAAGTAGCTGGTACCTACCATCCATCTGGTGATGGTTGAAACCTGCACATATCAGATGCCAAATGACCAACTATTCTCCTTGGGGATAGTAAGCAGGTTCTCCTTGGAGGTGAATTGGCTCTAAGATGAGTTTTCGGGCAAAGGAATCTCAGAATCGTCAACCTTCTGTGATGGTCTCACTAATCCAGTTCTTGAGCCAGGCGAGTCCCCAGTCCTCCAGGGCACTGGTGATGACTGCCTAGCCTCTCTGACTCGTCAATAGGATTTGGAAAGGCAGACCAGTCATTGCGGCAGGAACTCTTCCCACCCAATTCCTTTTAACCCTGGCAACAAAAGCCCTCATGTGTAGGGTGGTCATAGCTATACAAGCCTCGGGAAAGCTTGCCAGACAGTGCTTTCAATGGCAGCTTTGTGGTTTTAGCTGGTTGGACACCAGCGGAACTCCAATATATACTCCAGGGTCCCCAAGACAGGGCTTTCGTCAAACTGTGCCTAATACTCTTTAGAATTAGGTAAACATGATGCGTCCCTACAGAGAGAGAGTGTGCTTTCCATTCCAATAAATATCTCTGGAATTTCCATGTATACGTAGGATGCATGGAGCTGTTTGGTTTGGATACTCTTCAGCATGAAGATGAGTTCCACCTGGCTGACCAAAAACAATGTGAACTTTTAGTGATAACGAATATGAATATACAGATCTAATCGTATAACCACTATTCTACAGGTGTCAGCCTTGATACTGAATATCAACAATGTAATTGTGCGTTTGGGAAACAATGTGTTTTGGTTGGGTACTTAACACACACAGAAACTTATCACCATCTGTAAGAGTTTCCAAACCAAATTATTGAGAGTTCCACATATATTTGGTTTATGTTTATTTGGTATGGAGTATGGACTCTTCCCCCAGAGGAATGCATCCGTTTGCACAATTCCAGAAAGATAAGGTACAGCTTGGTAAGAGCCATGAGGACAATAAATTGAATGAGGGCTAGATTGTATACCTTAGAACCAATTTGAGTTGTGCAATCCACAGCTATTTTATTGTGACATGATTTTGTGGACATTACATTTGTTTTTAAAATTTTAAAATGACTTTTTAATAGTTCTGTAAAGATTTTTTTCTGTCTCTCTTTAGCACTATTTCAAATGGCAGATTTCTTTCTTGCAAACAACATGTTCAGTTGTTGCTAGGTGATGGAAATACGACAATCCTGTGTTGTGAGATGATATTTACATATGATAAATACTGATAAACACATTTGGCAAGTCAGTTGTGATTAGATCATATTTTTTCATGGATCACAATTTCTGTACAATGTGAGTGAATTGGAAAGCTATATTGGAATTTTATGCTCACTAATATATATGATTTAGTTTAACCAGATGACACTCAACTATAATACCATGACTAAATCTTGAAATGAAGTCTGCAAGCCTAGTTTTAGGAAGCACTAGCAGAGGCTATTCGGCCCATTGTGCCCGTGCCAGTTCTTTGAAAGAGCTATCCAAATTAATCCCACTTCCCTGCTCTCCCCATAGCCTTGCAAATTTGTCCTCCCCAAATATCTATCCACTGCTCCCTTGAAAGATGCTATCGAATCTGCTTCCACCACCCTTTCAGGCAGTGCATTTCAGATCTGAACAACTGAAAGTAGTCGGAGATTGCAGTTGTCTGAAGTCCGAGTGTCTAAAATTGTTGAAGAACTGGGGCATGTTGGGAGGGAGAGACTTTTAAGGACTAACAGAGAGGGGAAGGTAGGGCAAGGAAGACAAAGGAGAAAATGGGGTAGAGGACAGGGGATGGTGGGTTAAAGGGGTGTTATGATGCAAAACAAAGAGGGGATTACAACAAAACAGGGGAACAGAGGTGTTAATAATGCAAAATAAAGGGGGGGGGGGATTGAAACAAAACAGGCCAGAAGGGAGAAAAGGTGTATCTGGGACCCAGATGATGTGGTAATGGTCACAGAAGAGGGGGAGGGGGAAGGTGAGCTGTTATGGTCTGAAATTATTTTTAAAAATATTGAGGCCAGAGGGCTGTAAGGTCCCTAGCAAATAGATGAGGTGCTGTTCCTCGAGTGTGCACTGTGGTTCATTGGAACAATGTAGGAGACCATGGATGGAGAGGTCAGAGTGCGAGTGGGAGAGAGAGAAGTGACAAGAAACCGGAAGCTCAGGGTTGTGCTTGCATCTGCGTTTGGTCTCCCCAGTGTAGAGGAGAGCAGCATGAGCAGTGAATGCAGTAAACTACGTAAATTACTGTCTCACTTGAAAACTGTGTTTGGAGCCATGGGCAGTATTATGGGAGGAGGTGAAAGGGCAGGTATTGCATCTCCTTGGCTGGTATGGGAAGGTGCCGAGGGGGACTCAATTTAATAATTTGAGCCTGTTTCAAAATTATACTAAAACAGAAGCTGCAAAATTTGAAAAATGTGTAAGTCTTCTCTTTGGCACTTAAATGTGTTTACATTTATAAATGGTAACCAGACTATTGGCTCCACTCCCAGTGGAGCTGGTCAACTATGAGATCAGTTAGCATGGGGGTGTCAATGGTCACTGTTCAGTTCTGAAAGGTCCGTCTCCACATCGGTTTCAATGGTTCAGCAAGCAAGTTAACAACTCTTAGCAGGTATCCTCACAAACACCTAAACAAAACCATTGTAATAGTAAGTCTCTTTCTTAAAGCACTTGTATGGAAGACACGCTGTAAAATCTATCATCTCTGTTTCTGTGGGCTCTGTTAATTAAACTTCAGTGGCAAACTGCCAACCGATTCAGTCTTCATAATTCCAATAGCCTTTGAATTTACATTGGAATGGTGAACTATTTTTAAGAATGCACTTAATTCTGTAGCATTAATATCATACACAGTTGCATTAATATCGTATGCACAGCACAGATGCTCAATCTGAGCAAAACAGTCTGGTAGAACTTGTCCACACTCAAGGCACAGAGTTTGCAGATATGTATCAACATATATACAATGTCTTTTTGAATGCAAGATACTGAGGTGCAAATTATAATAATCTTTGCACTTGATATAGCACCTTATCACGTTGAGACGTCTCAAAGTGCTTCACAGGATATATGTAAAGTGGATTGACTGTATTTTGTGGACGATATGTGGCAGCCAATTGCGCACAGCAGTGTCCCACAAGCAGTCAGGGATTGAGTGAACCAATTGTTCTTGGGGGGAGTAAAAATTGTTTTACCCCCAAAAAGTGAACTGCCAATTGACTGAAAGCCGGTTTCCTACATACTGCCTGGCTAAACAGAGGCATGTGGAGTAAGCAAACTTGCCTAAGGTCTCCCCCTACCCGGGAATCGAACCCCGGTCCTCTCGCTTGCAAAGCAAATCACTAAGCACTACGACTGCAGGACTCTACGCATTCAGACTGATTTAATGATTGTGCCTGTTAAAGGACAAACAGCAGATACAAACCCTGGAGCAATTATAGGTTCTCTTTGGCACTTAAATGTATAAATTTATTGTAAATAACAATAATCCTTACATTTACATTTGAAATAGCGCCTTGTCACTTCGTTGAGATGTCTCAAAGCGCATAACAGAATACACTGTAAACAACAACAAAATTACATTTGTATAGTGCCATTCATGTCAGGAGGATGTACCACGGCAATCAGTGTTTCGGACCCGAGCTGGGGGTTGGGAATGGGGATGGTGGGGGTGTGGAAGGTGAGCGAAGGCTTGGTTGAAGAAGAGGGTCTTGAGACGGGTTGTGAAGGAGGCAAGGGAGGGGGTGAGGTGGAGGGACTGTGGGATGGAGTTCCAGAGGGCGGGGAGGAGGGGGGGTTATAGAGTGGCTGAAGGCTCACCCACCTAACGTGAGAGGGTGGTGGTGGGGGGAAGTTACGGGGCGTCTGGGGGAGAGGGTGTGTGGGGGGGAGAGTCAGGGGTCTAGGGGGGGAGGATGTCGGGGGGAGTCGGGGGGGGGGGGGAGTCAAGGAGTCTGGGGAGGGTGTGTGTGTGTGTGGGGGGGGAGAGTTAGGGGGTCTGGGGGAGGGGTGTGTGTGTGGGGGGGGGGAGAGTTAGGGGGTCTGGGGGAGGGTGTGTGTGTGTGGGGGGGGAGAGTTAGGGGGTCTGGGGGAGGGTGTGTGTGTGTGGGGGGGGGGAGAGTTAGGGGGTCTGGGGGAGTGTGTGTGTGTGGGGGGGAGAGTTAGGGGGTCTGGGGGAGTGTGTGTGTGTGTGGGGGGGAGAGTTAGGGGGTCTGGGGGAGTGTGTGTGTATGTGGGGGGGGGAGAGTTAGGGGGTCTGGGGGAGTGTGTGTGTGTGTGGGGGGGGAGAGTTAGGGGGTCTGGGGGAGTGTGTGTGTGGGGGGGGGAGAGTTAGGGGGTCTGTGTGTGTGTGGGGGGGGGGGGAGAGTTAGGGGGTCTGGGGGAGTGTGTGTGGGGGGGGGAGAGTTAGGGGGTCTGTGTGTGTGTGTGTGGGGGGGAGAGTTAGGGGGTCTGGGGGAGTGTGTGTGTGTGTGTGGGGGGGGAGAGTTAGGGGGTCTCGGGGAGAGGGGGGGGGGTGTTAGTGCCCCCCGCCCCCCTGCTGGACACGTTTCAGTAGCTCCTCATCCTGCAGGGAGAGCTCGGTCAGTTTGCGGCCCATTCTCTCGTGGACGTCGAGGTATTTGGAGACGCAGCGATCCAGGCAAACGGCCTCGCCCTTGGACAGCTCCGGCTCCTTGTAATGGGGGGGGACGCATTTGCGGTGACACGCTCCCGTCATCCTGTTGTACATGTCGGCCATCATCTCCACCTCCAGCTCCGCCGCCAACTGCTGGGCTTTCAGAGGATCCATCCGCCGTTTACGGTGCAGCCCCGGGGCCCACTCTGTTGACGGGTTGTGTCGGTTGGAGCCGAGAGGGCCTGAGGCTGTTCGGGAGGTTTCAGCCGCCGCCGCCGCCGCCACAGGGAGAGCGATAGAGAGAGTGTCCGTCAGATCCGCCCCAGATTAGGTGGAGGGAGAGAGGGAGGAGAAGCGCCGTCTGCTCGTCCGCCCCGGGCCCGGGCCTCTCTATCTCTGTCTCTGTCTGGTCCGTCCCCCGGGTGGGGTGTGTTGAGGCTCAGCCGGTTGCGGGGGCCGCGGGGCGGCTGACGGGGTCCGGGCCTCGTGGCTCGGGCTGGATGCGGATTTGCCTGATGTCCCTCCGGTGTCACCTTGTGCCCGACCCTGAAACTGCGGCCTCAAATCCTCCGCCGATCAGAGCGAGAGCAGAGCCGGTGGCTGTGGCACTGCATATATTTGGGGGGAGGGGGTGGGGGTTGGGGGAGGGTTGTTGGGGTGGGGGTTGGGGGGGTTCGCAACGTAAATGGTTTTGCAGCAGAGGAGGGTTCAGTATTTTAAGGTAGAATTTGCGATATTCGCAAACGTTGTTAATGACGAATTCCGTTTGCGAACATTGAAAAAAAATGCTGATATCGTTTATTTTTTAAAAATATATTTGGGCATATATATATTTTTAAAAATAAATGATATCAGCATTTTTTTGCAGATATATATAATACATATAATATCATATATGCAATATATATCATGTATAATGTATTATATATAATACATATAGTATATCATTTATAATACATTATATGTAATATATACCGTATATAATATATATAATATATTATATAATATATTATATCGTATATATACTATATAGTGTATATATAAATGTATGTATATATATATAGGAAAAAGAGCACATGGTCATTGGGCTTTTTGCTGCACAATACATGGAATAAACCCAGACATACATAGGTTTTCCACTTCATAGTTGTGAGAGTTTGTTCCATCACTAAAACACAGTTACTTTTCTGCAATTTACAATTACAGCCATCACTCTTAACCCCCAAAAGCCTGAAGTGAACAATAGAAAATTAATACTTTTGTGGTAACTTTTGAGTGTTTCTGACCTATTAAAGAGCTCTGTGTTGGACTTGAACTTTCTGTGACTTTTAGTCGTTTTTGAGGGGGAAAAGAAGGCTCCTTTTACAATGAATTATAGACGTGTTTAAAATAATATTTACATGTTGCTAATATTTAAGGGATCTTTTGCAAGACTACCTTAGGAGCAGCTTGCCAAATTCCAAAGACGTCTCGAGATGTTTTTTGCACAGCGAGTGTAAAGTTCAGGAGTTTTTGCACTGTTTACTTTGCTCACTGCAGACGGCCGTGCTTGTGACTCTCATTTTAAGTGTCTTGCATGGTTCGCTGTATACATTTCCACATTTTATGGATTTTATTGCTTACAGTGTTGCTCAGCAAGTTCACTGTAGGTTGGCGTTTGCAGACGTGCTGTTTACCACTAAAGTTAACCAAAAGAATGGCAGATTTTAGAGAGACTAGGTCAGTATGGTATTATCCATTGTCTTTCTGCGGTTTAGCAAATTAATAAATAAGCTGACCATTTGATTACTTTAAAATGACTCAAATACTTCACAAGTAATTGTTGTCAAGAATAGTGACATTATTTTTTAAGGTGCCTTCCTTTTGCTCGGGGATGTTAAAACTGGGATCGAACCTGACATACACAATGGGGATGTATGAGAATTTTCTGATCCTTAATCTTGGTGAAAATCCAGGCCCGGGCAAATATATGGGGATTTTGAGTTGATAGTGGCAAAGGAAAATCTTCAACTTCAACAATCGCTTTGAGCTTTCCTGGCTTTCAAAAAACTCCAGTTAAATTAATGGAAAGGGACAAAATGATCAATTTAGCCTCTTAAAAGTTATAAAGAAGTGACTTGCTGCATTACACAAGCACATGAGTATGTAATCCTTATGTGTAGAAAGTGATTCTTTGCTGGTTGTGGCTTTATCGTTTTGGATGCTACCCTAGTTATATAAGTAACACACTCAATGAATGTTCTCAGCACACTCCTTTAGCTTCTTTCCTGCTTGGGATTTCTCCCTCAGCTCCTGCCACCATTCCGTGGTTGAGGGGGAGGGGAAGTAAGCTTAACTGCTTCCAAGGCAGCAATGGAGCAAGAACGTAAGAAATGCTAGACAAAAAAGTAGACCAAGGTCCATCTAGTTCGCCTACCACCTTCCTGATGGTCGCATGTGCATATGTTTCAAGCTACCTATGTACTATATCCCAAAATGTTATTTCCTAAAAACTCTAATCTGTGTTTGAATGAATCAATACTTCCTGCTTCAACCATCTCCTTAAGGAGCCTGTTCCACAGGTTCACTATTCACTCACTGAAATAGTATTTGTGTTCAATCGCGGGCCATGTCCTCTGATTTTACTATTCCTGACAAGTTGAAACAGCCTGTCATGATCTATATTGTTTTGCCCCTTTAGAATCTTAAAGGGAGCAATCATGTCGCCTCTCAATCTTCTCTTTTCCAGCATGAATATGCCCAATTTACTTAGTCGCGCCTCATAGTCCAAACCTTCCATTCCCTCAATCATTTTGGTTGCCCTCCTCTATATCTTCTCAATTGCTCCAATATCCTTTTTGTACTGTGGCGACTAGAATTGTACACAGTACTCCAAGTATGGTCTCATGAATGATTTATACAGTGGCTGGATTACCCCACTGTTTCGGCTTCCTATTGATCTTTTGATACATTCCAACAGCTGGTTTGCTTTACTCACTGCCACAGAGCATTGTTGGGAGAGTTTCAATTTATTGTCAATCAGGACCCTTGGGTCCTTTTCATTTTTCCATACAGATTATTTTCCTTCCATTCAATTAATAGTCCCTTCTCTTCACATTGAATTTCATATGTCACTGATTTGCCCAATTCCCAAGTATGTTCAAATCCTTACGTAACCTATCTTGTTCAACTTTGCAATGTACAACTTTCTTGGTGTCATCTGCAGACTTTTTAATAAAATATATTAAACAAAAGAGGTCCCAAAACAGACCTTTGTGGAACTCCACTGGTAACATTTTCCCAGTCTGATGATATTCCCTGTACCATCACCCTCTGGATTCTTCTGTTCAACCAATTGCATCATCAATTGCAATGTCAGAGACAGTTTTGGTATTCCAGGGCACTGCTGAGGACAAAAAGTGGCAAACCTAACTTTTTTGGTGAGGTGGATAATTTTTCATCTTGAAGAGGAAAGTTAATGGTTTGGATTGGAACAGCTTTACACTCCTTGCAGTTTAATAGTACAGTACAGCATGGAATGGAAGCAAGCTAAAGTTCCCTCTCCCATATTCCTGTCAAAGACCTTTATCTTAACAGTGAAGTTAACATTACATTTGAATATGAGTTACCCTTCAATGGACTTTTGAGTTATACTTTAACCTCGGTTTGCCAAGATACAAGTAGCATGGTTCTACCATTCATGAACATGTTTAGAGGACAACATTATTATTTTTGCTGAAAGAAATCAGGTTGAGGCATACTTTCCATATTATTTACTGAAAAATAAAGACAGAATGCTTGTTGGTTATATATGGTCACCAGTTATTTTCCTTTTTGTTAGTGGTTTGTCAAATTAAAATAAGTACTGTAAAAGATCTTAATTTTTATTTTATTCAAACCATATATGATGGAAGTGATAAAATGCCTGAGTTGCTGTACTGTACGCTTTCAAACTCCATATGGCATTTAGGAGTGGAAACAAAGAATGCTAAGCATTTTAAGAATCAGTGGAAGAGATCTATTTTATGCAACATTAAAAAAAACTTGCATGGAGTCAGATTCCCGAAAAGCATAGTGAAGCTGAATGAACACTATTTCAATTTCAAATACAGTAAGCAGATACAGTGCCGCAAGATAAAGCTCCCCCATTTTCCTGTATAAACAACAACAACAAAATTACATTTGTAAAGTATTTGTATAGCGCCTTTCACTTCGGGAGGACTCCCAAGGTGCTGGACAATCAGTGTTTCGGACCCAAGCTGGGGGTAGGGATCAGGGAGGGTGAGAGCGGAGGAGTGACTGAATTCTGGTAACTATGGAGTATTGTGAGAAGAAGTGATTGAAGACCAACTAGTAATTGGAATTTGAGACAACAAAGTACACAGTAAACTATTGAAACAGAACTTGAGTTTGGAGATGGTTATACAAATAACATGGAAGAAATGTCAAGAACTCACATGCAGGAAATCGAGGGTGAATAAATATGGGAATAGATGAACTGGTGGTAGAGTTGGAGTCACAGATGAGTATGGAGTTCAGCAAGGCAAAGGTCAAATCAAACTGAAGGATGTGAGAAATGTGGATTATAACAAGTTTTCAGGTAATACCTTGTGGAAGGGAAGGAATGCTATATTGCAGTGGATAGGGTCATTGTGCAAGGAATCGCGGAAATAGACAACAAAGGTCAGAACAAAATAGAACAAAAGAGAGATCCTTTAAGACCCGCCTTCATGCCTTCCTCTTTGACCTCACCCTCAGTCTTCTTTACCCAACTTCAGTTCAGGTTTGTGGAGAGTTCTCTTTAAAGATAATGACAATTCTGCAATTCAAATGGACCAACCACTATTACTGTTATTACTTCGCTGCCTAGCAAACAGAACCAAAAACATATTATCCACTACTCTTCCTCTTTCACTTTTAATGGTCACTTTCTTACTGGAGGTAAATTCTCTCACCCTGTACATATACATAGATACAGTAGAATTGATATCAATTCCACTACATGGAATAAAATTTGGATTGTTGATTAGGATATTGGCTAGTTAATTTGGATTGTCAATAGGATATTGGCAGGCCCAAGAATAGTGATTACATTCTTAACACCATTTGGATGATATTGTTTCTGGAGAATGCTGTTTGGCATATGGTCAGTACAGGAGATATTCCAAAAGAAATTATTACAAATACTAAAAGGATTCTTGTTACAATAAATTATAATGATGATGTGTTAATATTTGGAAGGAGTAGAGCATGAACATTCGAAAAGCGTGTTATGGTTTCCAAGAGAATGTAAACGAAACTAAAAAGTGTAAATTAGGAGTGAGAAAGGTCACGTATAATTACAAAAAGGGTTAAAAAAAAGATTCAAAGAAAGTAGAAGCAATAATAAAGATGCCAGCACCCAATGATAAAAAAAGGAGTGAAAAGATTAATTAGAATGGTGAAGTGGGTGGCCTGGTTCATACTGAAGGTGACTGATTATGGAGCCAAGACAGCAATTGAAAGCAGACAGGAAATTTATCTGGAAAAGGGAACAGCAGCAGGCATTTAAAAGAATAAAAAGCCACATCAAAGATTCCTGGCATTAAATATTATGATGTCAATGCTTAAGATAACAGTAGATGCAAGTAAAACAGGGATAGA